ACCGCGCCCAGCCCATAAGTTTATTTTTTTAAAGCAGTTTTAGGTCTGCAGTAAAATTGGGAGGAAGGTACAGAGATTTTCCACAGGCTTCCAGCCCCCACGCACCCACGGCCTCCCCATTGTTGACATGCCCACCAGAGTGGTGTACTCGGTACAATCCACGAACTTACACTGACATGTGATCATCATTCAGAGTCCATGATTTAGGACTCACTGTTGGTGTTGAACATTCTGTCGGTTTGGGCAAATGTGTCGTGACCTCATCCACCGTTACGGCATCACGCAGAGTAGTTTCACTGCCCTGCAAACCCTCTGTGCTCTGCCTGTTCGTCCGTCGCCCTGCCCCAACCCCTGACAACCTTTGTCCTCTCTCCATAGCTTTGCCTTTTCCAGAACATCATGTCTTTGGGATCATACAGTATGCAGCCTTTTCAGATTGGCTTCTTTTACTTACTAATATGCACTTAAGGTTCTTCCATGGCTTTTCATGGCTCGATAGCTCATTTCTTTTTGGCACTGCATGTTACATTGTCGGGATGTACCACAGTTCATCACTTGCCTACTGAAGTGAGAATACCTATGCCCGAGATTCTACAATTAACATTTTGCTCAATGTGCTTTACTGCAAATCCATTCATACTGTCTATTCATCACTCTGTTCATCCATCCGCTTTTGTTTTTATGCATTTCAGGGTAAATTGCAGCCATAAATATACTTCACCCCAACTATTTCAGTCTGCATATCATTAACTAGAATTCAGTATTCGTTTATGATTTTTTGTTATTTTTAGGAAATATTTACCTACAGTGAAGTGCATAAATATTAAGGGTACCATTTGATGAATTTTGACAAATGTACCTATGCAACCCAACACCCTGTCGAAACGCAGAACATCATCTCAATCCTGAAAGTGTCTCGATTCCCCTTCTCCAGTCACCCTGTCCCTATCCCTTCAAAAGCAAACAGCTGTTCTGATCTTTTTTCCATCAGAGATTGGTTTTAGGCTGTCCCAGAACTTAATTTTATACTCTTTTGTGTAAGGGTTCTTTCAGTCAGCATAATGTTTTTGAGATTCACCCATGCCATTCTGTCAGTTAGCTTGTTCCTTTTTATTTTTGAATAATATTCCATTGCATGACTATGCTTCTCTTCATCCGTTTGCTTATCACTGGATATTTGAACTGTTTCCAGTTGTGGGCTATTATGAATAAAATTGCTAAGAATATGTTTGTACAGATATTTTGTGGATATATATTTTCCTTTCTCTTGGGTAAATAAATACGTAGGAATGGAATGCTGGTTCAGAGGAGGCAAGGATATGTTTAGTTTTATAAGAAACTGCCAGATGTTTTTCCAAAGCAGGAGTACCATTTTACATTCCCAACAACGATGTATGAGGTTCCAGGTACTTCACATCCTTGCCAACATTTGGTGTTGTCAGTCATTTTGATTTTAGGCATTCTCACAGACGCGGAGTTGTATGCCATTGTGGATTTAATTTGCATTTTCCTAATGACTGATGATGTTGAGCATCTTTCCATGTGCTTATTTGCCGTTCACAAATCTTATCTGTCTCTTTATATCAGGGGCCGGAAAACTCCAGACTACTGACCAAATATAGCTCATATTGTTTTTTGTAAGGCTCTTGAGCGAGGAATGTGTTTTATATTTTTAAAGGGTTGTTTTAGAAAAAATGCAACAGATTGTTTGTGGCCTGCAAAACCTAAAATATCTTACAGAAAACAATTCTGATTCTACTATGTATTTATAATGTTTATCTTGTATATAGCATATTGTTGAGTATTGATTTTTTTTTAGTTCCATTCCGATAATCTCTTCCTTTCAGTTAGAGCTTTTAGTCCATTAACATTTGATATAACTATCGTTAAAGGTTGAATCTTTTGTCTGCCATTTTATTATTTGCTGTTTTTATTGTTTTTCTGTTTCTCTTTTCCTGCCTTTTCATT